ATTTTTATTTTATATTAATTTTTTATTCATAATCCTCAAATTATTTCACTCTAACATGATTTCTCAAATTATTTCACATTAATGTTCTAAATTATTTTTTAAAAATATTTATTTTAACTTCAAAATATTTAATATTTTATTAATTTTTTTTGAAACCAGTTACCAAAAGTGTACAAAACTAAAAGATAAGTGACTAACCATATAGTTAACCCTAAGAAATCTAGTAAACATTTCATTATTATTTTAAAAATTGTTATAAAATAATGTTATGACATGTTAGATAACATGTCAAATTACATTTAATTTAAACCTCAACCATTCTATTAACTTAATTACATTTTTTTCTTTTACATTAATTATTAATACTAATATTATCATTTCACATTCAAATTTCAATTCGTACTACAATGTTACATAACATTAATTTAAAAAAACTCAAATAACTCAAATTGCTTAATTTAAAAAACTATATATCTCAATTTAATTAACTTTAATTAAAAAAAAACGTTTTCTTAGTACTGTTTGAAAGTTAATATTAATATTTTTCATTAAAATATCAAAGAACTCAAATAAACTTAATTTAAAAAACTATATAACTCAATTTAATTAACTTAAAATTAAAAAAATGTTTTTTATATTAAATTTAAAATATTATCAAAATAAAATATAAATATTTAAGTTAAGATAAGAATAAATTATATTTTTAATTTAAGATAATATTAAAAATATATATTTTTAAATTAAAATAAGAATAAAATATATTTTTAGGTTATAAAAAGAATAAAATATATTCAATAAGTTAAGATAAAAAAATATTTTAAAATTTAAAGATGTAAAATTAATTTAATATGTCAACTTACGTTAAGATATATAAAATATTAAGAATTTAAGTTTACACTAAAATACAACATAAATAATATATGTAGTCAAGTTTAAACTAACTAATTATTTTAGCTCAATGGTTGAGCCTTACCCTTTCAATCTAACTCATGTTCAATTCCCTAGACATCATTTAAGCATCCAATTTTTTTTCCCATCATCATCCTCTAAGTTGGTGAGAAAATATATTAAATAAAAAATAAATTAAAATAAATTTAATCATCTAATTGGATGGTGACACAAGTCATTACACTTGGCACCAGTGACACACGACACCATTTAATTTGAGGGTTAAGTTTATTTTAATTTATTAAAATTAGGACCAAACTGATAGAATTTATAAGTAACAATGACCAAATGTGTAAATATACCAAATATTTTAACTGTCAAATCAGCTTCTACATTCTGTTTGTTTGGTTGTAATTAGTTTTCTGAAAATTGAATTCTAGAAATTGAATTACATTTTCTGAAAACGTTTTCCGCCATGTAAAATTGTAAACCCAAGCACTGCTCTGTCTTTTAGCTTTTTATTTACAAAGAAAAAATGGATGAAGAATTGCTAGAAAGCAACACCGATTGCGTTTATTTTTTAGTTTCTCCCCTCACTTGCAAGAAGGTATTTATTTTCTTTTTTTGGGCTATCTGGAAGTAAGCTTTTCCTCTTTCACACTTTCCCATTTTCATCTCGCATTGTGTGTTTTTTGTTGAAATTTTTATGTTTCTGGAACTGTATGTCAAGGATCTGGATATTCAGTGTTAGTTTTAAACCAAAACCATCTAATTTTCTTTCTTCATTCTTAATCAAAACTTTTAGTACTCTTTATGAAAGATATTCAGTCCATCAGAATATAAGTGAAAGAGGGTCATATACTAATTTTTTTTATCTTCTTGTTTAGTTTTTCTTTAAATCAGAGAATTGGTTGTGAGTATCGACATAGTGAAATTGCCAGGCTCAATCCGAGAGACTGCTGATACTAGTTTACTGGGAATTGTATTGATCCGACCTGTGGTTTTCGGCGTCATATAAGCTCGTATTCTTTTTAATAAGTTCATGTTGATTATGAGACTGATATATCGTGAACGAATTGGATTTTTTTACATGTTTTGGAAATTTTACAGTTGAATATGTATTGAATTATAGTTTTAGAAGACAATTCTGCATGCACGCAACTCAAAAGGCATCATGACAGGGTAGTATATTTGGAGAAGCTACTTGATATGTTGTCCGGTCATTGCACATTTGCACCTTCATTTTTGGCAAATATATGTTTGTTGCAGTGTCCTCTATGTTTTACAATGTCTTTTATTGCTGACATGCCATGAATATACAAGAATTATGGGGTCTTATGATTTTAGTTCTGCTATCTGCTTTAGATTATCATCATGTTTGGCTATTAAGAAACATTAAACATGGAGCATTAGAAGCAATTATATGTTAAAAGGGTAGGCCGTTAATGCATTTACAACTGGTAATGTTGTATTTGGCATCTAATGTCTATTTTAAATAACCCATTTGACGCCTTAGCTTTTGGAGTGACTATGACTGAACCTCTTTCCCTTTATTTATTAAGTTCCCTTTTTTGAATGAGTTATTAATTGATATTCTTGGTTTATTTTAGTTATTGCTTGGTTGTATGTTGTAGTCCTATGAACTAAAACTCTTTACTATTTTCTCAGTCGTTGGATGTGCAAGCTCAAGTTCCATCCAAACCTATTGGATTGTCATACCAAAGTGCGTCAGCTACGAACAAGACAAATTGGCCTTTTTACTTTTACTTCAATGGTTTATGCAATGAACGTGATAGGTGCACTTTTCATGTTCAAAGTGCGGCAGCCGTTGAATGTGCATGCAACAAACCTCAAATTTATATTGAAGTAAACACTGTCAAATAGTAAATTCATGTTTAAAATTCTAAAACACTTCAATTATATTCTAAACCCCAAATTTCAAAACACTTTAATTACATTCTAAACCCTAAAATAAAGTATTTTAGAATTTAATGTTTAAAATGTAATTAAATTATTTTAAAATTTGGGGTTTATAATGAAATTGAGGATTGTGTTGCAAGTTTTAAAAGTTGGGGGACCTAAATGCAAGTGCTAGAAAAGTTCAGTGACCATATTGCAAATGTACTAACAATAGTGTAATGACATCAAACGGTCGATTACGTCGGGGACCATATTGCAAACAAACTAAATGTTGGAGGATTGTATTGCAAGTTTTAAAAGTTGGGGGACCTAAATGAAAGCTTCAGAAAAGTTCAGTGGCCATTACTATACTTTACCCATATAAATATGTTCTTTAATAGGCTTGTAAATGAACTGAACGTTCAGCGAACCGTTCATGAACCGTGCGGCGGGAAGTTTGTTTATATGCGTTTATTTATTAAATGAACGAACATGAACAAGATTTTGTGTTCGTTTAATTAAATGAATGAACATGAACATAGGTGTCGTTCGTCCATTTACGTTCGTGAACGTTCGATTATGTTCATTTATGTTCGTTCGGTTATGTTCGTTTAAGTTCGTTCATTTATGTTTAACCCAATCTTCTTAAATCAATTTTGTTGACCAATTTGTAAGTATCTTAAAAATATTAATTAATCTGATATTCTGATGACCAACTCCATAATTAACCCAATTTTATTTGGAGATTAAATCCAATATGTTAACCCGTGAGGCACCTCGCACCTATATTCATTTCCCCCTTTTTCCCAAACCCTAGTGTTCACTGGAGAGTGGAGTGGAGACGATCGGTGAAAGCTTCAAAACAAGTTATATTATAGTGCAATCTAAAGTTTTACAGGTCTGTTTTCATCTATTTCTCTGTTTTATTTGGCTTAATAGTTGATATGTAAAGTTATTGTGGGTATCTTCACATCTAAAACTCAAGAAAACATCATACTTCTTTCTAGAAATAGATGGGAAGATAAAGGTAACAATCGGAAGTATATGAGCATCAGTAAAGAGAAAAATATATAGAATTTGCCAAAAAATAAAACAAAGGTTTCTATGCAATTTCTGAAAAAGAGTATAATAACGGAAGTAATGAGTTTTCCAGGAAGAACCCATTAATAAGTAGAAAATACACTTTGATAATGAACTTTTGTTTTTATAGTTCTTGTGTGACCTTTAGTTGTGGAGTAGACTTTAGGTACGTTAAAATTTCGAATGGTGGTTTAGCAATAATATCAGTTAGATATGTAGCATCGAAGGGATTTCGGATATATATTATTGCCTTGTAGTCCAATTTGTACCGTTCGAAATCTTCATGCTATTAAATTTTTTACTATGCCAATGGAAAGGATCATTATTAACAAATCTCACTAAAGTCTGACATTGATGTCACAAAACTTTTAGCCGGCGAATTTATTAGAATAACGTAGTGGAAAATGATTGTTCATATGTAATCATGGACCACTAAGATAAATGTTATATCTTTCAATTAAAGTTGTGTGAATCATTTAATATCTTTAAAAGATCGATCGAAATATCGGATATCTTCAAACATTTCATCACTGCTAATCAGCTCTTACGCTATTTATCACTGTAGATTTGATTAATTTGCATTGTCGACTATTTTTCATAAAAGAACAATGGAATGTATGGTCTCCAACGTTTATGTTCGTGTTCGTTTATGTTCGTATTTGTTTATGTTCGTATTTGTTTATGTTCGTTTATTTATTAAATGAACGAACATGAACAAGCTATATTCCTTAATGAACGAACATGAACAAAAAAAAAATTGTTCGTTTATGTTCGTTTATTTATTAAATGAACGAACATTAACATACCTCCGTTCGTGTGCGTTCAGTTCGTTTACAGGCCTTTTCTTTAGTACCCTTTAATCACATTTCTAAATTCGTCTGTTCAATAAATTAATATAGAATTTACAAGTTGATTATTTTAATACGTTTGAATTCAAATTTTAGTCCCCGTTAAAAAAAAAGAATCTTGTCTTTTCTTAGACCAAGGATGGTTGTTAACCCTGTAATAAGCTTACCATGTTATGCCAACCTTCACCCCTCTGTCCAGAAGATTTCTCCACGTAATACTTTTAAACATTTTAATAAACATGAAAATAAAATAATAACACAAATATATTTTGACACAAGTTAGGTTTACCAGCTTCAATTTGTAAAACACAAGTTTAAACAGATGCAATAGTAATTTTCAGAATCAACCAAGAGACTCATCAGTATGTACATTGTTCGCCATCAAAAGAAACATGAGTCGGAAAATCAAAGAACATCACCGACCTCGCAACCGGCTCCACAAGGAGGAAGGAGTGACACCTTGTGGAGGAGGAGGCGTGAGCAAGTCTAGCATAGTTTCCTTTTCCTTGGGTGTCAATGGAACACCTCTAACAAGGTCCAGAGCCATGATGTGCACGTTAGTCTTTTGTCTGTGCTTTTTGTAAGCCCACACTCCTGCAGCAGCACCTGCAACAAGAAGCTGTACCCGAAATCCTTCTATTTTAGGTTTAATACGAAATACGGGTAAAGATGTCCTAAGATTTTGGACTAACCGGTGATAGCCACAAGGCTGCAGTCTGCATATCAAACTTCGGGGTATACAGTACCGTCTCACCGTAATCCTCCTCAAGTTTTTTATAAATCTCTTTGTCACTCTTTCCAGATTGAATCTCATCACGAATTAACTGCAATAACAAAATGAAAGTTGGATTTTTCTCTTTTAGAAAGTTTTTATATGATAAACATAGCTGAACAAATATGCCGGGACACTAAGAATTGAAGGAACAGAACAAGGATTATCCTTCAGAAGGGAAAGATAGCAAATGGTTGATTTTGCAATCCAAAAAAGAGTTCATAGTTTAAATTATTGAAGAGTAAGAAACACTAGATTTTCACGGAATGCAGAGAGTTTGGAGTTTTAGAAGTACTGGAACATGTAGAAGTTCATTTACACACCGAACAAGAAATGATCGAATTGCGTAAATACAGATTAGAAGCTAACAAAAGGAAATGATTAAGACAACAAGGCCTAAAAGCAAGCCATTAACCCATAAACTAACAGTTCAATTCAAGTAACAATGCCACCATGTTGAGAAAAACTTGATCAACCAGTTCCAGCAACTTCCGGAATGAATTATTTTTATTTTATTTAATGAGATCATCACTGAAGTTTGGTTCACAAGCAGTGACTTCATTTGGTTGCAAAAGCGGAAGTAAATACCTTGGCTTTTTACATAATCATTTGTAAGATAATAAAGTAGTGTACCTTTCTGAGGAGAATTGCGATATCCGCTTGTGAATCTTCAATGGACTGACTCCCACATTCTGTACAACGCACATTGTGGCTGATGTTTCTTGCCCTGGCTTCTACAACTTGTGCTTTCTTCACTTCATCATCTTTGTTTTCCATTATCAAAATAAATGATTGCAATCTCAAACAAACTACCAAAATCACCCATAAAATGAAAACATCATCAGAATTTGCGGGCCTTTCTTTTTCGTCAGTGAGGCATTTTATCGAACACTTCGCTTGAGGAAAAGGAAAAATAAGAAAACATAGCAGATCGACACCATTTTTCTTAAGATTTTTCTTATAATCGAATGATTCAGTTTAACCCAAAGCCGAAAACCTCCCAGAAAGAATTACTTAAAAAAGGGGGTCGATTTATTCAACTGAAGCTAATAACTTCCTATTTCTTAAAGCCAAAAAATAAGTTTTTTACTCTCTAGTTAGAATCGAAAACTTGGGTTTCTTTGTCTTTGAAATTTTAATCAATTAAATTTCTCAAACGTTTTTCAGTTTCTAGATTGTCTGGGTCATCCAAACGAGACAAATACAGCTAATATAGTAAGAAGAAGAAATGAAGACAACGGCAAGTACCTTATCGGCTTGTTAACTCAGGGACTGATTCCCAATTTTGGTGCTTGCGAGTTCGATTTGTATAAGAAGTTTGGCTTATCAATGGGGATTAAGCTATGTTTCTTTCTCTTCGAACTTTGAAGCTTCTTGATGGAGAAGTTGCTATAAGCTGTCACGTGCATTTTAATCGTTTAGCAAAATATAATAAAAAATGATAAATCGCAGATTTTACACCAACTTCTTATCTTTTTATCTCACCATTGTACGTATAAAAATACGTGAGATCGAGACGAATTAAATTTTTTTTAAAAATTATTTATTTAAGTTGATAGTTTAATTTTATAATTTAAATTTTATTTAAGATTATATTAAGTCGAGTTAAATTTATGAAATTTGAGTTTAATTAAATTGATTCGAGCTTATATTTGAATTTAACTATAAATATTTATAATATTATAATATTATTTAATTCTAATTTAAACGATTTCATGTAAACATACAATATATATATATATATATATATATATATATATATATATATATATATATATATATATATATATATATATTCCAATTTAAATGACGATACACAATTTCCAAAAAAAAAGGCGCCTTATTCACAAGCAAGTTGACTTGCTCTCGGTACATTTCCTTCAAGTCTGCTATATCAGCACCAACTTCCTCCAACTGGAAAGATGATGCAGCCAAGTGCATCATGCATTACAACAGTATCATATAATATTTTCACAACCAGAATTGAGTCAGAAATACAGCAATTCAGCGAGAGGCAGGATAATCAAAATGTTCTTGCTTCTCTGAAAATTCATTTTCACCGTAAGATTTAGTTATTTAGTTCAACAAAGCTCATACTGCCTCTCCACCTTATTATACTTAAGATACCATGCATGAAACATCTATATGCTTCATCATCCATCCTTGAATATGAAGTTTTGCTATCCAACAATGAGAAAGAATTCAAATGAAAAGAGGCATACACCTCCTCATCTCGTTCACCCATTTGCTCCAGAGCAGAAGTGTGTCTCCGCCTCAAGGCTTCTAGCTCTGCCCGGATTCCAGGCAACGTGGCAGCCTCTGACATCAGCTTTTCACACTACAGAAAATGTAAACAAGGTTAAAGGCAATGAATTGACAAAAGCATATAATATTATATTGATGAATAAAACCTCAACATATTTTAACTAGAAAGCAGATAATTAACTAACCTCTGCAGTCATTTTGACCAACTCCTCAGATATGTTGAAATCAAACTTGATTTTTATGCCGGCACGTACTTGGCAATGTGGGAGTAATATGAAAAACGTGGCAACAACATTCTTGAAAAGAGTCTTCTAGTATGTTATTAATCAAGAAATGTGGCAGCAAACAACTTTGAGTCAAGAAACAATAAGTAACACGTGTAGAAGTCAAGACAATGCTTATCAATTAAATTGATAAGATCTCAAATTAATCAAGGTGGCTCTAAACACTTGGCAAGCAAATGAAAAATTATATTACGTCAAGGAAGCTTAGGCGGTTATTGGTGTAGCAAAATAGTTAGCAAACAAGGCGGTTAATTGACCCTATATATACGTGCTCTAGCTTAGTTTAGGATGTGTGAGTAACGAGTGAAAGAAAAAATATTAGAGAGAATTGAGAGAGAGCTTAGTAAAGTTATAAGGTGATTGTAAACTAGCCGCAATTAGTATTGTAGTATTTGTAATATTGAAGTAGTGTCGTTGTAACGCATTTTGTTTCGTATCAATAAAAGTTCGAGTGTTATAAATTACCGAGTGCCCATCTACGCTTCCAACAAGTGACCTCAGAGCTTGGTTCGAGTTTAACGTAGTGGAGAAGATGACCAACATGATTCAACCACAAATTCCTAGATTGACAAAGACGAATTATGACAATTGGAGCATTCAAATGAAGGTGTTACTAGGCTCTCAATATTGTTGGGATATCATAGAGGATGGTTACACCGAGTCTGAAAATGCAGCAGCAGAAGCAACCCTGACCAATGAAGAAAAGAAGGTATTGAAGGAATACCCGAAAAAAAGATAAAAGAGTGTTGTTCTTTATTTTTCAAGGAGTAGACGAATCTACCTTTGAAAAAAATTTCCGATGCGAATACTGCAAAACAAGCGTGGGAGATTTTGCAAAAATCTCTCTAAGGTATCGAAAAAGCAAAGAAGATACATTTACAAACTCTCAGAGCTGAGTTTGAGATGTTAAAAATGAAAAATACAGAAACCATCGATGATTATATTAGCCGTGTGAAAGCGGTTGTGAATGAAATGAAAAGAAATGATGAATCACTCGACGATGTTAGAGTGATGAAAAAAATTTTGCGGTCATTAATAAGAAAATTCGATTACGTGGTTATGGCAATCGAAGAATCGAAATATTTATCCTAAATATCAATCACTGAGCTTGTGGGTTCACTTCAAGCACATGAGCAAAAAATGAAACAAAATGAAGATTCTGAAAATTTGGAGCAAGCTCTATAAAGCAATATGAATGTCAACGAAGGAGAAGCTAGCAGAATCTACACACGAGGTCGAGGAAATCGTGGTGGTTATCATGGAAGATACAGAGGAGGACGAGGATCTCGTGGACGTGGTGGTCGATCATATGACACCGATCAAATAAGTGAAAACAATCCAACATCGGGTAGTGGATGAGGATTCAGAAGTCGAGGCCGAGATAGAGGCAGATATCAACAAGAAAATAAATTCCAGGTACAATGTTATAATTGCAATAAGTATGGTCATTATAGTTATGAGTGTAGATCTGCTTCTAAACAAGAAGAAATAAATAACGTAGCAGCAGCTGAAGAAGAAAAAATTGAAAAATCTCATTTATTCCTTACTTATAAAGGAAATGAAGAATTCAAGAAAAATATTTGGTATCTTGATAATTGTGCCAGCAAGCATATGTGTGGTCAAAGGACACTATTTGTGAAATTAGATGAAACAGTTCATGGGCGAGTAATGTTCAGAGATGACTCGCACGCAGAACTAAAAGAAAAAGGCGAAGTCGTGATTACTCAGAAAAATGGAGAAAAGAAATACATTTAAGATATTTATTATGTATATGCTTTGAAAAGCAATATCATTAGTCTTGGTCAACTCATAAAAAAAGGATATGAAGTGTAGATGAAGAATCACTCGCTTGCCATCAAAAATTAAAAAGAAGAATTGATAGCCTAAGTTGATATGACTCGAAATCATCTCTTTACAATTTATATTGAGTCGGGAGAAGTCAAGTGCATGAAGAATGCGATCAAAGATGATTCATGGCTATGTCATCTAAGATATGGACATCTTGGATTTTCTGGTTTGAATCTATTATAAAAAACAAGCATGGTGAAAGGACTACCAAAGATCAACCCTCCAAATCAATTATGTGAGGCTTGCATCAAAGGAAAGCAACATAGACAAAGCTTTGAAGTTGGTAGATCCTGGCGTGCCCGAAGACCGCTGGAGATAGTACACACAAATATAGCCGGTCCTTTTGACATACCATCGCTTGGCGGCAACATGTACTACCTATCTTTTATTGATGATTTTAGTAGAAAATGTTGGATTTATATCTTGAAAAAAAAAGTCAGAAGTGCTGGAAAAATTGAAAGAATTTAAAGCAATGACGAAAAAAAAGCGGTCAATATTTGAAGATACTCAGATCAGATAGAGGAGGCGAATATATATCAAAGTTATTTGAAGAATTCTGCAAAGAGCATGGCATCGTCCATCAGCTGACAGTCAGATACACGCCACAACAGAATGAAGTTGCAGAAAGGAAGAACTGCACAATTCTTGACATGGCAAGAAGCATGATAAAAGGTAAACATCTACCAAGAAATTTCTGGGCTAAAGCAGTTCGATGCGCAGTTTACCTATTGAACAGATGTCCAACAAAAAGTGTGAAGTATATGACGCCAAACGAAGCATGGAGTGGTCAGAAACCAGGAGTTGAACACCTCAAGATTTTTGGGTACATCACATATGCCCACGTTCCTGAACAGACCAGAAAGAAGCTTGATGGCAGAGGAGAAAAATTTATTTTCATTGGCTATGATGAAAGAAGCAAAGCTTACATATTATATAATCCTCTTACCAAGAAAGTAATGATTTCAAGAGATGTCGAGTTCGATGAAGCAGAATAATGGAGGTGGAGCAAAGAAGAAAAGAAAGTTGAAGGACTATTTTTTAATGAAGATAAAGATAAAGATGGCGATGGCGATCTTATTAATCAAGATGAACAAGGTCCTCAACAAAATGTACCATCATCGTTAAGAAGTAACATCGATGCTAGCAACATAATAGAAGATTATGAATCACCTCCCACAGAAGTTCAAAGATCCATAAGAGAGAGGAGAATACCAGAAAGGTATAACGATTATGAATTAAATAATGTTTCACTTTTCTGTTTACTTGTGAATAGTGATCCAATAACATACGAAGAAGAAGTTGAAGATGACAAATGGAGGAATGCAATGGATGAAGAAATTGCATCAATAAAAAGAAATGATACATAAGAGCTAACAAGACAACCAGAAGGTCATAATCCAATTGGAGTAAAATGGGTTTACAAGACAAAGACCAATAAAGAAGGAAAGGTCGAGAAACACAAAGCGAGGCTAGTTGTCAAAGGCTATAAGCAAAGACAAAGAATAGACTATGATGCAGTATTTGCTCTAGTAGCAAGGATCGCGACCATCAGACTTCTCACAACAGTTGCAGCACAAAAAGAACGGAAAATTTATCAAATGGATGTGAAGTTAGCATTTCTAAATGGCTACCTAGAAGAAGAAGTTTATATTGAGCAACCACCTGGATACATTAAAAAGGGACATGAAGACAAAGTTCATCGATTGAAGAAAGCTTTATATGGTCTGAAGCAAGCCCTGAGAGCATGGAACACGAGAATTGATAAATATTTCCAGAGAAATGGGTTTATGAAGAGTCCATATGAGCATTCCTTATACACAAAGAAAAATGAAGACGGTGATATCATGATCGTATGCATATATGTGGACGACATGATTTTCACAGAAAATAATCCAGGTATGTTCAATGATTTTAAGAAAGCTATGACTAAAGAATTTGAAATGACAGATATTGGAGAAATGTCATACTTCCTTGGAGTTGAAGTGAAGCAAATGTAAGAAGAAATATTTATATCACAAAAGAAGTATGCAGAAGAAATTTTAAGAAAATTCAGAATGGAAGATTGCAAGCCGGTAGCCACTCCAACAGAACCAAGCATCAAATTAAGTGTGAATTCAACAAGAGAGCAAGTGAATCCAACGCTATTTAAAAGCATCGTTGAAGTCTAAGGTATCTGACAATCACACGACCAGACATAACATATGTTGTGGGATTGGTAAGAAGATTCATGGAGAATCCGAAACTAGATCATTAGATTGCAGCAAAAAGAATTCTGAGATATGTCAAAGGTATAACAAGTCATGGTTTGTTCTACACATGATTAAAAAATCGAAGCAGGTTGATTATTCTGATAGTGATTATGGGGGAGACTTAGACGATCGAAAAAGCACAACTGGATATCTATTTCATATCGGCTCTGCAGTATTTTCATGGTCATCAAAAAAGCAACAAACGATAGCTCTTTCAACATGTGAAGCAGAATACATAGCCACAACAGCGTGCACTTGCCAAGCAATGTGGTTAAAAAATATTTTGAACGAGCTAAATTTGGCACAAGAAGAACCAACTACAATTTATGTCGATAGCAAGTCTACAATTTCACTTTCCAAGAATCTAGTCTCTCATAGCCGCATCAAGCATATCGATACAAAGTATCACTTTATATGAGAACATGTGAAGAACAAAAATGTGGAGTTAATTTACTATAGAACTGAAGATCAATTAGCAGATATTTTCACAAAGTCATTGAGAGCAGATATATTCAACCGACTCAAAAAAAAGATTAGAATAAAAAATCAGATTTGAAGGGAGTGCTAAAATCAAACTTGATTTTTATGTCGACACGTACTTGGCAATGTGGGAGTAATATGAAAAACGTGGCAACAACATGTTGAAAATTAGCACACCAAATTGCATCAATTGTCAACATTATGGGTGGCAATTTGGTGGCATTAATGGGGTGGCAAAATTAGTCAAATTTGGCCACCAAATTGTTGAAAATTTTGGATGGTAAAACTATACAATTAGTCATTGTAATTTAGGGTATTTACAAATTAGTCCTTAAAGCTTCAACTATAAATACCCT